TGTCCACCTCCCCGTGCACCATTCTCTTCGACCCATCAAAAGCCCTTACCACAATGTTACTCTGCTTTAGAGTCAAACCCTTGCAATCCAACCGGTCCAACGCCTTCTTCAGTAGAACATTCAACAAAGACCCAGTATCTACCAACACATGAGCCATAGTGGTGCCCCTGCATTCAATTGAGACATAGAGAGCATCATTATGCTTTCTTCCCTTTGGTGTTAAGTTTGCATCTGAAAAACCCATCCCATTATCAATAGTCAGGTTGGCCACACAATCTTTAAACTTATCAGCTGAAGTTTCCTGCGGCACATACGCAGTCTTAACGAATGCAATCAAAGCCTTCACATGGGCTTCAGAATACAACAGCAAAGACAACATGGATATCTTTGATGGGGTTTGTGTAGCGATAAAAAATGTAGCGGGGTAAATCGGAGATCGAACTATTAATTAACTCGTCTCACAAAAGCAAAGTCGCCACCGCGCTTTATTATTTCCAAGGGAAAAGGGAAAAGATCGAAATAAAACCCTAAAATATGCAATGTAAAATAATACTTGAAAGTAATGAAAATACAATGCATTTTGAAAAGAGATCTAGAGTTCGGGGGTTGGTTATGCAATGGGAAGGTATTAACACCCAATGCATCTATAGTATCCTATAGGAACCTTTTGAAATATTTGTTTATTAAAATTGTTTGTTTGATTAAAATAGTTTGTTTGGCTAAAATGGGTATGGACGAGATTTTGAAGATACGACGACCTAATGTCGAAGTTTTGACTTAAAAGGTGTGAGTTTGAAAATGGAGTCTTTTAGGAAAATTATCTTAAGTTTAGCAAAATAATGAACAAACAAAAGATGAATGAGGGTATTCGCACGATTGGATGGGATGTGTTTGATGACGTGAAGTCAACAAAGTTCAAACATTTCCCTTGGATTTGAGACGGACGAAAGATATAAAGATTAAATGATCGATGATTTAATTAGAATGACAATTGAATAATCAAATAAATTAAATTATACTAGCATGCATTTTAAACGATTAAGTAAATAACAAAAATTACATAAAGAATAAATTACAATAGCATTTTTTTAACAATTAAACAAATAACAAAAATTAAATAAAAATTAAATTATGAAACATGTATTTTTTGAATAATTAAATAATAAAAGATTAATAGCATATTAACAAAAATTAAATATGCGATTCTCTCTCTCTCTTCAGTACATCACTGTTTTCTTTGTTCTACCACTTCAAATCTCCAACATAGAAAACACCTCTACCACAATCTAATGCAACCTGAACACTAACCTTCCTTCTCTCAATCGAGTCTCTCACTCTCTCGCGATAACCTCTTCTCTCTCAGCCTTAAAATCCGTAATGAACACTGTAAATCGTGGAACAATCCAGGTATGCTTCAATATTACTGCTTCCTCATCTCAGTTTCGGTTATGTTATTCAATACAGATCTACTTATGTTGTTACTGTTGCTGCTAATCGCGATTTACTCCCAGCGTTGAAAGAGAGAGTTATTTGAGGTCCACTGAGGATTGATGTTTGGAAAACCCTAACGAGTATGCCTTATGTGCTACAAGCAAGGTGGTTTATCTTCTGGATAATTAATTGCAAGCGTGGTTTAAGGATGGTTTACGGAAGGTGGTTGTGGTGTTTTCGTTGGAGGACACGCACGAGGTTCGGGTAGCTCAAATAGCTCAAGCAGTTTAGGCATTAATTCCTCTTCATCTAGTGGTATATTTTAATCTACTTCTAATAGGTTTTATTTTAAGATTATATTAAATCTGTGTGGAAATAAATTGAAAGTTAAATAACATATTGCAGATTCTGATTTAGGGGTTCCTCTGGGAGTGATTATGAAGTAGACAATGGACACTTCGTTTTCTTACAGTGAATCCAACAATACACAAACGGTTGCAACTCTTGATAACACTATTGTGGCAACTTCCAATACAGTGTGCCAGCTGGAAAAAACGGTTTGTGGATCTGATGTACGCACGCACGAGTATTTGGATGCAAAAGTATTTATTTGGAAAAAAAGTTCTGACCCACTGACGGAAGTTTTACAGGAACTGGCTTCACTCTAAAAGTAGCAGGGGTTACAGTCCCAGGAGGTATTGATTGTCAGTTAGTGAAATTATAAAAGAAAAATTTTGTTTTAGATAAGTAACCATTTAAAATATACAAACTGTTTTCTTTTAGACAAGCAACAGCTGAAGGTGATTTATCCTAGTGGTAAGTAGTTTGATCTGTTTTTTTTTAGTCTGAAGTATTTACAAGCGATTCTCGAGTATGCTGAGTTATTTTTAGGAGTTGATGATTTCTGATAATAATTGGCTTATATATGACATACAGATGTTGGAAGTGTTCGTAGTTGAAGAAGTCAAAGAAAGTTGAAAGAGGCTGATAAATATGGTACAGTTATTTTCATACGTTTCATCCACATTGTTATTATTACTATGAATTCTAAACAAATTTAAATGCTAACAAAATGCAGCGACTCAAAGAAAATACAGCAAAGAAAGTATGATGAGGCAAGCATCGTATGGCAGAAAAAAATGGCGCAGAAGATGATTCAAACATGAATATATGCAGAAGTAGATAGAGAGGAAAAAGAAAATAATACCTATTGGAGCCTCTCCGACGGGGCTTCTAAAAGATAGTAAGTTTCTCTCCTTGAGTTTGCTATGTTCTTCTGATTTTTCCTCTCTACTGAGTTTTTGGAACAAAATCTCTCTTTCTGTTTTTTTCCTCTTGCTAAATTTTTGGAACAAAAACTCTCTTTCTTTTTTTTCCCTCTTGCTGAATTTTTGGTTTCTCTTGTTGTCTCCCTTTTTGTGTTGATGGAGGCCTCTATTTATAGTGAAATGTGTGGGGTTTTAGGGGGGGAAAACAGTAGAGGTTTTGTTGTACCCCAAAATTTGTCCTCTTTTCATACACGCATATTATTGGTTTTATGGTTATCGAATAAATGTATATTTATCAAGCTTCTTCAGGTTACAAGTGACGTTTATTTCGTCAATGGATATTCTCAGAGTATTTTCCGTGCTGAAAATCGGTTCGCCGTTTTGCAATGATTCGGGGTTCAAAGATTCACAAGTCCAACCCGGCGCGTCATATTCAGGTGATCTTTCACCAAGATATCTCTGATAACGTATTCTCAAATTCAGGTTCGGCTCAAGAGTCAATTCTTTAAAGAAGGTATCCGAATGTGTGAGTTTTCTCGAAGAAATATGGTGAAAAAGTATGCTGAAAGTGCAGTTTTTACGCGCTAAAAAATTCATAACTTGAAGATCGTGGCTCGTTTTGAACCCGTTCTGGTGGCCAAAATTCCGTATTAATGTCATCTACGTTTTCATTTCTCACAGCTGGAAACCAATTTCGATCAGAAGGTCTTCAAAAATGTGGATTTATCAAGTATTTTCGTACAGAAAATTTATGACAGAAGTTTATATGCGTCATGTTCAAAAAATCATAACTTGGTCGATTTTCATCGTATCGAGTTGGTTCAGGCGCCAAAATTTCACAAATTTAGTTGACTAAGTTTTCACAAAAGGTATTGAGTTCGAACGGTATCCAAAAGGCCTTCATTTTTTGCTCAGAATACGCGTGTGTTGCAACTGGTTTTTAGATAGAGTCGCCACCCTTAATTTTTATCCTAAAGGAAGGGAGTATAAAGGAATAACCCTAAAAGTAATTCAGAGATTCTAAGTTTGACTCGGTTCTAGACAAGGGGAAGGTGTTAGGCACCCCTTATCTACCTTGTTCACATGGATACTAGGTTTAGAAGCAATATTTTTAAGAAATAGGATAATTATTATTAATAAGGGAAAAGGGTTTGAATTTTAGTTAGGGGGATTCGCAACGATTTTTTATCGTATGCCTACGTATCCTCCTTAGGGGGAATCAGAGTCTCATTTTCGTAGTTCGCGGTTGGTTTGTGTTTTTTATGGATTACACAGATATTTTAATTTTCCACGCACTTAGTTGGAATGTGTAGATAGCAGAGATTTTGAACTAAGTGCAAAGTTAATTAAAAATTCTTTGTATTCCTTTTTGAAAATTAATTGTTGGATTTAATTATTATAAAAAATGGTTTGACGTTTGTTTGCGCATTTTTAGACGTAGAGCAAAGGAGTCTGATATAGTCTCCTCGTCACGTGGTCAGAAATTGGCCTCGTGCCATTCGCGGATGTAGAATTTGGTGAGATGCGTAGATTTTAAATGTTTGATTTTGAATAATACTCCCTCCGGTCTCATTTATAAGAAAAAATTAACTTTTTAGATACATTAAATAAGTAATGTATTTGGACAATATATTGTCCAAATACATTACTTATTCAATGTATATAAAAAGTTAATTTTTTCTTATAAATGAGACCGGAGGGAGTAAACTGGTAGACGATGTGTCGAGCGATTTAAACACTCGAAGATGGACATCCTATTATTTATAGAATGTCTGAATATTAATAATGATTAATGATTATTTTTGTATTTTTAATATTTCTTGAATTAGATAATAAAAAAAAACTAGCTAACCATAATTAATTTAATTACTATTGTTAAACATATTTATTTTTTTATATTGTTGATAATGCTGATTATAGTTGATTCCTAACTTAGGAAATAATTGTAATTCCTAGATTATCTCTGATAACAACATCACATTGACAACCAAACAAAAACAATAAAATAATTAAAAAAATAAATAGAAATATGGTCACGTGAATATTGCATAAACTCTACTTTACTATCGTACCTAAAAATTCTGGAAGATATTGACTTATTAATATAAATGGGACATCCATTAATATGCTGATATGTGACGTTGATTAAGAATAAAAATAAAAAATAAAAAATAAGAATACCTCTTAAAGCCAAACGATAAAATACAAAACATAAATCCCAGTAAAACTATTTAACCTTTCTACTACCATATAGTAAGAACAAAATGTTCTCTTCTCATCTCTATAGATTTTATCACCATATCAACTCTCTTTCAAAAACTCATTCTTGAACAAAACACGTGATAATCCATACATAAGCCAAGAATGGATTTTACCTCTGAAATCCGGTGCAACTGTGGCTTTGGAAGTGAGGATTTTGCTGACGGCGAGATGTGCTGATTGGGAAAGTCCAGCGAGAGTGGCGGTCGGTGCAGATCTGAGCGTGGCTGTGCGGTGGTTCACGGCTGCGGAGATGGGTGTCGCAAGGTTGTAGGCCGAATGGTGGACTCGCGGTGGAGGGGTGGGTGTTCGTCGATGTCGGCGGTTGGATGGAGGTTGGTTCGGTGGCGGTACAAACAGATGAATCTCCACAGTAAATGTTTTTAAAAAAAGGGCCATTTGCTTCTTTTGTTAATTGTCTTACAAAGATTGCTTTGACTGGGCCACACGTTCTTAACTTGTTTTGGGCCTATGCGTTTACTATCTGAGATGAAAACAATTTAATGGGCATGTGATGTGTTTGGGTTTAGAGACTCCAATATCCTTTCTAATATAATCTTTTCACAAAATGCTTTTAAAATAGAATCACTATAATAATAGTGATAATAATAATAAAAATATTATAATTGAAACAATTCTTTAAATAAGCTAAGAATTTGGACGGCTTTGATTATGGGCTTCATGTTTCTTTTTAAATAACAACATTTATTCCTTTAAATTAATAAAATAAGATTAATAAAAATGTTACTTATAATAATATTAATATAATAATATTAATAAATAAATATGATAATAGTAATAATTATTGTAAGTAAACAAATATTTTCTTTTCAAACTAAATCAAAACTTGAAATGGCCTTTATCAAAAGGGATTTGTGTGTATCTCCTTGATTAAAATAGTACACCTCTCTTTTAAACTTGAAACAAATTTTAAGACCTAATGGACCATCAGATATTGATGGTCTATTTTACATCAACACACTCCTTTGACTTTAAATACCCCTATAAAAGTGAAAACTAAATAATGAAATTTATTTGAAGAAAACCCTAGATTAGGGTAGGGCAAATTTGGGGTATGACAACGTGACGCGTCGAAAATCCTGAATGCTGAATATTATTTTATCTGGGTCGAAACTTTGAAAATTCATAACTCGGTCAATTTTTATCGGATTGGGCTCATATTTTTAAACAAGGTCACTGACTCAGAGATCTACAACTTTTATTCCAAAGTCGAGACCGGATTATGCTCCGATCAATACCAGTTTTTTATTTAAAAATGTGTCAGAGTCGACACTGGAGCCCAAAATAAGTTTGTCTGAACTGAAACTTCAAAATTTGATAACTAATTCACCGTTTATCCAATTGAGCCCATTTTCGGACAGAAGTTAGTTCTCGATGTCGGCTACATTTTGTTTTCATATTTCAACTTCAAAAATTGCACTTAAGCCCCTGCAATTTAGCCTGGAACGTGACGAACTCAAGTGAACATTGGAGGCCCAATTGCACATCCAAAGCCCATTTTTTTCTCTCTAATTTCTATTATATAATCTCATTCTTTTCACACAAACAAAAAAAGAGGACGGAAAAAAAAGTCTTTGCCACAACGCTGTCAAAATATCAAATTCTTTCAAGAACCCTAAAACCTTGAAATCCTTATTACAAACCTCCAACTCACTACAAACAAGTCATCCCTGTTGCAAACCCACATCTTACTACTTCTCCAGTAAGGGTAAGGCTGGTTTGATCTCCATGATAAAAAGGGTATAATCATTCATACATGCCATATCAGTTTTAACGTTAAATTTTTTTCTTCATATATTGGCTTTATTTGTATTTCATGATATATAGTAATTTATTTAATGTGTTCATGAGATTCAACACTGCAGATTTAGACAGGATCCCATGCAGGTTCATTACATAACGTTGAGGCCAAAACACAAATGGTCAAAACAGAACAGCCAACACATGACACCAATACATGGCGAGGCAGACATCCTGAGAAGGTTAAGGGCGTGGGTTCAACAACCACCCTTATTGGTTTTGATTTTCTTCCTACAGAACATTGAGGCCAAAACACAAATGACCAAAACAGAACCGCCAACACATGATACCAATACATGGCGAGGCAGACATCCTGACAAGGTTAAGGGCGTGGGTTCAACAACCACCCCTATTAGTTTTGATTTTCTTCTTTCCTATTTATCCTCTTACCTATTTTTATTTTTTCTGTTTAAAATCTTTTTTATAAAACTTAATATTTTTCATAAACCTTTGATTTTTTATAATAAAATCGTATAATTAATTTTAGGTTTTAATTTAATTTTAGGTAACTTTAATTGTTTTGTAAATAAATTAAAATTAATTAGAACAATTAGGATTTTGTTTCTAACTTAATTCTATTTTTCTTTTTTCTTAAAATAACAAAACACAAAAATAGGCCATTTAATTTTTATTTTTTTAAAACTAATTTAATTACTAATTAATTTTGTATTTAATTTTAAAAAAACCTAATTCTTTTTTCTTAGAAATAACTAAAAACAACAAAAAATAATTTTTCTTTCGATTAGGTTAGACAGGGTCAAAACCCTAATTCTCTCTCGTTCTTTATTCGCGTGTGCTTTATTTTATTTTACCATATTAATGTAATTGCTCACAAGTTGTAATAGATTAATTAGGACCTTTTTACTTTCATTTATCGTTTTTTTAAGGGTTTGTTTTTGGCTATGTAAATACCCGAAGCCTTGTAATAGCTTAGCTTATTTTCCGCACTTTAAATTCTACAAATATTAACGGTTAGATGTATGAATAATTAGGGATGCATGACAAGAATGTATGATTAACTTTAAAACGGTTAGCTAACCCTAAATGTGCAAAGATAATAAACTTGAAATTGAATCACTCGCACATGCGCACTCCTAGGATACACTCCCACTTCGGCTGCCTTCGGTAAACGATCATTAAGTATAGGATATTTTAGTGGTCGCTCTCTTGTCTAAATAAAGATCAAAGTCCTGTTCGGAAAAGTTGCCTCAGAATGGTTGCCTCGGATATTGTTGCCTCGAATAATTGATCTAAGATATTAGGGTTACTACTAAGACGTCTGAGCATTGCTTTAGTGACCGTACGTCCATTTCGAATTGACCCTTATAAATTCCAACGACGGTGCTACCTAATCACTAATAGTGGGATAGTGCTGTCTAAAGGAAACGAGAATAAAAACGATCCTTTTTTCGAGTAGGTAGATAACTGTTATGTACTTGCTCAAAACAACAAACTTTTCACACTTACACTTTTTTCAAACAAAGTTTTCAAAAACAACTTCGTAACACTCTTGAAGACAGAAGCAAGAGTTAAATCGAAGTCAAACAAAAAAAAAACTTTTCAAATCACACGAACACAGAAGCAATTTTAAAAATGATGAGCAAGTACCTAAGAGCCCATGGAAAACCATGGATAGAAAGGGTGATAACACCTTCCCTTTCTATAATCTACCCCCCTACTCAGAAACATCTCGAAAAAGGATTTTTCTGTATTTTTTTCCTTTTCAATTGGATGAAATAAAAGTCAGTGGCGACTCTTGCTTACCGCGATATTTGTGAATACAAAATGCAAACCAGTATTAACAGTCGGTTCTGCCACCGTATCACAGGTTTGAACTATTTTAGACCCTGTTTTGATGTTTTATGAGATAGCTTTTTGAAGTATACATTTTAGTGCAATATTTGAAGTTTTGTAGACTGTTTTTTGTAGCAGCAAAGGTGTAGATTTTTGTCTTATGGGATGTATTCTGGACTATTTTGCAGGGCATATTAGGATAGCAGCTTGGCATGGTCTTTGTTGAAACAAGATTGGAGAAAATGGACAGCATTACACTCAAAAATTGGACTGTTATTGGATTAAAACAGTGCTGGAAAAATGGGCAGCATTGGGACTATTTTGTAGCAAGAATAATAGCTTGATTTTTATGTGCAAAATTTGTATTTCTTTTGTAACTTTGTAACAATAAATCCAAGTAAATTGTAACATGAATGAACATGTATTTTTCAATATATTCTTAATTCCCTTGTAATTATAAATAACTTTGAATCTTCATATAAAAATGAATCTTGATATGTCTTGATAAAAATTCATGGTCTTCCATTTGAATTGGGAAAGAATTGAATGATACTTGAATAAATTGTTTAATGATGAATAAATAATAATGCAAGTCTTAGACTTTAATCTTGCATTTTGTAATAGAGATCCAAATAAATCACATGAATTGATTTTGTAATCAAATAGAAATTCTCATGTAATTAATCTTGTGATGAACGATTAATTGGATCGAATTCCTTTTCCCAATATCTTCTTGAATAAATGCTTCATGTGTGTTCAAATAACCATAATGTAAATCCACAAAAATAATCACAAAAATAATCTTGAATAAATATTTCATGCGATAAATGATTATTCTTGAATGAGATCTCTTGGTAGCTCCTCTTTAATTATCGCTTGAATTCAAATAAAGAAAATTCCAAGTATTCCGAATAAATTCTTCTAGAACGGTTTTGAATTTAATCATTCCATTTTGATGAAATTCACCCTGCGTCATGAGAAAATTTGTAGATGACCTTTGGTCGAAGTGATCGAAAGTGACGGGCATAGCTTGGTTTTCTTGTATTTTAGAATAATGTGGAACACACATGAACCAAAGATGGTAAAACTTCAACCGTTCTTTCTGAAAAATATTCAGAGAAGCTGGAGACCATCTGTTGGACAGAGTGTGGAAATAAACGCACGATTCTTTGAAATTCTTTTGATGAATCAGCTTTTTAGAATTAACGACCGACCGCATTTATGCCCCGAGACTCGAAACCCTAATTGATGTGCAACGTCCGATGCTCTTCTTTCAGACCTATTTCCTGTACATGAAAACAAAACAACAAAACATACACTTCGTGCTTGATTAGTGGTTAGTCATTCATAAGATAAAAATGCTCACAACACTCGATAATCTCTACATAGTCAAAGCTCGAAGGTGAAACGTTCGAAACCTACCATATTATGTGACCTTGATGTATATATAAAACAATGCAAATGAAGCAGGGATCTTAGGTCAAAAATTGGGGTATGACAGCTGCCCCTATTTAAGTTTCTTCTATCCGGAGATATGAAGATTGAAATCTTCGTCTCGACGAGATTGAAGGTACTTAAATACATAATACACAATTTTTTCCCTAAGATACCGCCATTATGTTTATGATATGAATGTAGTATTTGAACTTTATGGAGAATAATATTGTATGAGACAAAATAATGCTGGAGAAACTAAACACAAATAACCCACAGGAAAAGAGATTATACACTACTGGGGAAATGAGCCATCGACTTTGAATGATAGACTCTTAACAGAGAATAAA